TAAAACTACGTTTCCATTGTTACAGAACTAGTGGCAGGATGTCGGAAAATGTGTTGTCTTTCAAAGCGGATGCTTCGGACAACAAGGCACGATACACTTGTGAAGCGAAAAACGTCATGATAAGTAACACATTGAAGGCTGAAATAGATCTCACTGTACTATGTAAGTATGGTTTTAATTCTCCTCCTACGACTACTAGCGCCATCTATTATTGACTAGATTTAACTAGCCAATCGTTTCGCGTGTGAAAAAAAAACAAAAGTAAGCCTATGCTCTTCCAGGCTATCCTCTACATCTATGACAACCATCGAGATCCGTTCAGCAGTTTGGAAATATCCATCCATCTAAACTTTCCCAGTTAGTTATAATACTGGCTGTTCCAGTGCGACTTCATCCGCATAAAATTATGAAAATATTATTTTATTGTTTACATTTGTCAAATTATCAATTGCAAATGTCAAAATGACATGACGTGACAAACCATGGCAACCTTGCTTCCGTGATGTTGGCAGCAACTTTTGGTCTCTTTCCCACATTGGGTTTTTATCCAAAATATTTACGCGCTAAGTTTAATGTCGTGGAAATATGTAGCCTAAAGCGTGACGCAAGTGTAGGGCTTTTTATTAAAAAAATAATTATTCAAAAATATGCTGTAATTGCTGACATCTTACGTCACAAACTAGTGTGTGTTTACGCTTTATTATAATAGTATAAATTAGTAAGATTAAAACACAAGTAATTGTAAAATCTTGTCTATTTTTATAATGGAAGTTTGTTATAATAATTCAATGTCCAATAGTTTTCCGGTTTAAATTTTACATAAAAAATACAAATAACGTCTTATTGTATTCGATTATTAAATTTTATTTAAGGAATGTTAAATTAAAGTTAATTTATAATAATTCCTTAAACATCTGCAAATAGACTTTGTATTTAAATAACTGAGTCAACCCTTGTTTGATGGGGTAACTTTATCAAAGGATGCAAAGGGTGAAAGCTCTTTGATACGAATGTTTATATTTGTAGCTTACGAGTGTAGCTTTTTAAAGCTTTTTGTGAATACTTTTATGTTTAATGGACCGATTGTTTAGTTTATGTTGAATTGCGATTGTTTTTATTGTTTTATTGTTTTAGTTTTGTTTATAATTGTTTCGATTATGATTCATGAGAATAAAGTTTACGTAAATTGTTGGTTTAAAATAATTTTAGTTCTCACTTAGATTTAAATTGTGTAGAATTTGGTGTAGAAATGTGAATTGTCGTAATTTCTACGTGACTGTTGTTCGCCGCAATGAGGCAAGGGGGAAGGGATCGTCTGTGACGTCACACTGAAAACGGTTCCCACAAACGTCGATATTTGCTATTGTTTGAACGTTAATATGCTTTAAGTTATTTTAAAGTTTTTATTACTTGTGATTTTGAGTAAAATAAATTGATAAATACGTGAAGACAGGTCGAAAATTTAGGTAATTTATTCGATGACGTTACTAATACTTTTTTAGATTTTTTCGTCCTAGACCCTTGTTCTTGGTACATATAACAGGTATTTGAAAGTAACGTTTTCTAATAATGCAAGTTTTTCAATCATCAACCTCATTTTCTTTTTTATTTGCATGTAAAGGAAAATTTTCAATTTCCAATAAGAAATATCCGAGAAACGTAAAGAAATCCATTATGTTCCACAATACGTGAAATCTTACGAATAATATTTGTTCACTAAAATGTTTCAATATTGGTTTTCGGACATAGGGGTGGGGGAAATTCACAGAAACCAGATGCCAATGTTTGAAAAGCGAATCTATCTAAATGGGCAAATCCCATTTGAAAGTCCGTACCGTTCGAACACTATACGGTACGGACGCGCCTATTTTTCAAGAGACGCGTCTAAACTTTTGGTACGGAAGATCGTATATATCACTAAAGATTTACGTCGCCGATTCCCTGAGCAGTTTAGAAAGTTTATTTACAATGAAAATCGTTTAGAAATGCTATTGGCTTGGATATGAGACGTAATTATTGAAAATTTACTTCAATTTAATAATAATATTGTTTATAAATGCGAAAGTTTACATGGATGGATGTTTGTTAGGAGTTTGTAGCCTAAACTGCTGAATAGATCTCGATGAAATTTGGCATAGACGTAGAGGATAATCTGGAAGAATACATAGGCTACTCACTTTTGTTTTATATTAATTTACGCGGACGGAGTCGCGGGCGAAAGCTAGTATTTTATAACAGCGAACTTATCTCGATGAAATTTATCATAGATATATACTATAGTTTAGTAAATGTTGTGTTCGGGCAAAAGTTAATTTATAAAATACACTAAATGAATGTTATGTTGATCTTACTAAGGATTCCCTTTTAGTATTTAAAAAAAAAAAAGAAAAAAATAGTAACAGTGGACATTTTAAATGTCTAAGTTTGTGTAAACTATTCCGAGTATTCCAAAAATTCTTTAACCATTTGAAAACTATATTATTTCTGAGTGACGTAGAGATATTTTATGAATAATTTTTAAAGGCCGGTAGCTATTATAAAGTTTGAAAAGCATTTAAATCATTCTCATATCAAAATGGTAAGTTAAAACACCGTGATGTCCAAGTTTTGAGTAAAGTTTTTAAGAAAAGTTAACGCCACGATTGCTTCTAAGAATTTTCGTTTTTTTTTTACTTTGAGTGTTTTAACGTTTACGAATTTGAATTTTTAAAGACTTCCTAAATGGTCTGCGAAGGACGTTTTAACGTTTTGTTTGAAATCAAAACAGATTCTTGTAAATGTACATTTATCTATACTATAATAATAAAGCGTAAACACACACTTCTTTGTTGCCAAAGATGTCAGAAATTACAACACATTTTTGAATAATTCTTTATTAAAAAGCACTACACTTTCGTCACGCTTTAGGCTATATATTTTAACGCCATTAAACTTAGGGGGCAAATATTTTGGATAAAAACCCTAATGTGAGAAAGAGACCATAAGTTGCTGCCAACATCAAGGAAGCAATATTGTCATCATGTCATGTCATTTTGACATTTGCTATTGATAATTTGACAAATGTAAACAATAAAATAAAATTTTCATAATTTCATGTCGATGAAGTCGCACGGGAACAGCTAGTTGTTGTGATAATGTTATTAACGAAACGCGAAATTGCTTCCACTTCACACCTGTTTTGTGTGTGGTCGTGGTATTGCACCGGGCAAGCCGGCCCAATCGTGCGAAGATGTTAAAGCGAGCTCTAACACTGTTATATTTTAACAATCCCTCTCATTCCAGTCGCGCCAGCGCACGTAACGATATCAGGTCCATCGGAAGCTCGTGTGGGAGATCCAGTCCCGCTAAGTTGCAGCACAGCACCATCCAACCCAGCGGCGGATGTCAAGTGGGTGGTGTTGGGGAAGCATCACAAAGAAGCCAGTAACAGAACTGTGATTTCACCTGAAGGTAAACAGTTATTTTAACGTTATTTTGATGCGTACATTAAAGTTGTTATTAATGGATATTTGAATATTTTTTTTAATAAAAGTTAAGAGCAAGCAAAAGTGTGCTATGATTTAACAATCGAAATGTGTTGTGCGATTGTCGATTGTTTCGCAGCCTTCAATTGTTTAGTTGCACAACTAAAAATCTAGTATTATGCGCGCCAAATAAGCTTATAGAAATTATAGGGAAACTAAACTACCGTAAGGTTATTTAGTCTCCAGTGTGCGCTCTTAGAAGTTGTTAAATACTTTCTTCTCTTTAATGTGATCTAGACTAGTGAAGGCTAATGAATGACAAATAGAAACAGAATGTAACTTATTTGTTTTTCTTTGCGTTTCTTAGTGTTGTATTTTTTATCTGTAAAAGCACATTAAAATATCAGATTCTTTGATTAATTTCACGTGTTTTCTGTATATGTAAAGTTTGATAATTGTTTAATAACACTTGTATTTTTTTATATGAACACAATTTTATTTTCTCTCTACCAGGTGGTTGGATAACAACATCCAACATCACAGTGGTGGTTGAACCTAACCGCAGATCCGTGGTGGTCGTGTGTCACGGTATCAACGCACAACTCACAGAGAATGTAGTCTCCACTCACACCATCAACGTCCTATGTAAGTAGTAGTAATAATTATTTAAACCTTGTATAGTGCGACAAACTATTCTGACCCGGTAAAATTGCTATTCTGTAATATAAAGTTATTTGACCCGGTAGCTGTAGCGGAGCCGGTAGTGAAGATCAAAAAATGTCACAAGATCCTTGTACTAAGCTTACAAAAGGTTTTTTTAAGCCTTTTTCTGTGCCTGTAATGGTGTTACATATTTTCTGACAGTAACGATAACAGCGTCAAGGACCAAATATCCACATAAGACTATATTAATTACTAGCTGTTGCTCGCGTCTTCGCCAGCTTGAAATTAAAACATATAGCCTATGTTACTCACAGATAAATTACCTTTCGAATGGTGAAAGATTTTTTGAAATCGACCCAGTAGTTTTCGATTTATTCTAATACATATAAAAATACAAATCTTTACTCTTTATAATATTAGTATAGATAGTGAATTTTAAATGTCTTGACATCTCTGTAGGGTTTTGCTCTGTTTTTACAAAGATATTAAAAGGGGTAGAAATTAGTTGCGGATGAAAGGAGATTGCATGTGGCTAAGATGCGTATGTTAAGATGGATGTGTGGTGTGACAAGATTGGATAAAGTTAAGAATGTGTACATTAGAGGAAGTTTAAAAGTAGCGCCAGTGGTGGAGAAATTGAGAAGCAAAAGGTTAGCGTGGTATGGACATATTATGCGACGAAATGATGGGGACATAAACCAGAAAGTGTTAAGATTGAATGTGGATGGCTACAACGGTAGAGGAAGACCGAAGAAAGTATGGATGGATTGTGTGAAAGAGGATATGCTGAAGAAAGGAGTGTATTCAGATATGACGGCTGATAGAGATGTATGGAAGAGCAGCACATACTGTGCCGACCCTCCATAAGGGATAAGGGCAAGTGGATGATGATGATTAAAAGGGGTAGAAATATTATTGTATAAAGACCAAAAAAAATAACACACATGAAAAATATTGCAAAGATCTTGTTGTATTTTTTGATATTGACAGAGGGTTCAAAAACATTCTTAAAATAATGCTTAACTTGTTTTACAAGAATAATAAAACTGGAATAGTGTTAGTATAATATTCCAGTCCAACTAATTCGGTTACTGGACTGAAATAACAGAGACAATGTTTAAAAGACACCTGTGTATTTTACAATTGTATTAATTAAAAATCAGTCTTCATTCATCCAATAAATCATGTAAGCTCATTAAAGTGGCCTTACACGCAAGATGGTCTAACACACTGCATTAACAGCGCCCCCTACGTGACCGGAAAATATATCGTCACTAACGAGATAATCAGAACGAACATAATTTGATAATCTCCATTGAGTCGGGAGATTTTCTCTTATGAAGTTACTCTATCTTTTGTAACTTGATATGCTACCGATCAATTATAATCTATACTATTATAATAAAGCGTAAACGCACAATCTTTGTTGCCTAAGATCTCAGCAATTACAGCATTGTTTTGAATAATACTTTTTTTTAATAAAAAGCCCTACACTTGCGTCACGCTTTAGGCTATATATTTTCATGCCATTAAACTTAGGGGGTAAATATTTTCGATAAAAACCCTAATGTAGGAAAGAGACCATAAGTTGCTGCCAACATCAAGAAAACAAAATTGCCATAATAAGGTAATTGGTATTTTGACATTTGCAATTGTTTATTTGACATGTAAACAATAAAATAAAATTTTCATAATTCTATACGGATGAATCGTTTGGGAACAGTTAGTTTATTATAAAAGTACTACATACATACAAAAATAATTAAACATATACTAGTTCCGATTTTCTACGTGAAATTAAATCCCATGTTTCTATAGATAATTTAGTTTTTAATGGTGAAAGAATTTCGGCCCAGTAGTTTTTGAGTTATTTTATTACGTACAAAAATACAAACCTTTCTTCTTTATAAAATTAGTTTAGACTAGATGTTGCTCGCGACTTCGCCCGTGTGTAATTAAAAAAAAATAAAAAATATATCCTATGTTACAGATAAATTACCTTTCTATGTTAAACTATTTTTTGATATCTGCCCAATAGTTTTTACGTAATCGAATACATATAATAATATAAAAATCAAATCTTTCCTCTTTATAATATACGTATAGATATAGATATAGGAGTATAGATAAAATTATTTTATACACTAAGCAACCAGTAGTCAGGGCTGCATATAGAAAACTCCTCACTAAGCGTGCGGTTTCTAAAATGCTTTTTGAATCGGGCCCTTAAACCAACTAGCGAGAGATTCTTTAAATGTTAATCGAAGGTCATCGCTATTTTTAATTTATACGATAATAATATTACTAATAAGAGACAAATTTTTATTTCTATGTATTGAAATAACTCAAAAATTAATGGACCGATTCCAAAATTTTTTTGCACCGTTAAAAGCTATGTTATCACTTAGCAAAGGCTGTTTTTTTTAATTCACGCAGACGAAGTCGCGAGCAGCAGCTGTCATAGTATTAAAACTCATTTATTCCAAGTTTATCGTTTGAAATAAAAATATTAATGCATCTATGTATATCGTAGTATTTTATCGTATGCAATAAAACTATATCTTAATGATTGTTTAAATAAAATTTATGAATTTATGTAAATTTTATTGTTCAATATATATAAATTGACTTTCGCCCGAGACTCCGTCCGCGCGGAATTAAAAAAAACTAAATCAAGTAGCCTATGTGTTCTTCCAGACTATGCTCTACATCTATGCCAAATTTCATCGAGATCCGTTCAGCCGTTTAGGCTATAAACTCTAACAAACATCCATCCATCTTAACTTTCGCATTATTAGTAATATTTTAGTATTAAGATATAAAAAGTGAATTTCACTTAAGTAAACACATTTCACCCGTTTATAGTCAGAATAAATTGTTTTTGCTTTAGATGTTTACAATGATTCACTAAGGGAATATTCGAACTGACTCTGAGTGTAAAAATATCTCAATCTACCTCTTATTTTTCCGTCCAACACAATCCGTGTTGAAATTCAAAACATCCGTAGAATTGTATATCAAGTGAAGGCGTGCTCGCGCGTATCTCCAGTTAATTAGCCCCATGTTTGCGACATTATTATCCCCTTTTTGTACTTAGTTAAGCAAGGCTAACATGTAGACATAACTTAACTTGCTCAAAGTTTAATGATTTAAAATTGAATTTCATATTAATAACTTGAAATTAAAGCCTGTAAAATCCAATTTTTGGAAAATATCACTTTAAGTTAGTAGTACAGTATAGTTATGACTTGATAAGTGCTTTTTGTAAGTTGATTAATGTCTCATCTAAGTTATTGTGGCTGTCGTAAGTTACTTAAATGAGTGTTTAGGAGGACAAGTGTTATTTTTGCGTATAAAACCGATTTAGTGACTTAAATTTTACATTTTCAAGGTAAATGTTTCTAACATGAATAATATTATAAATGCGAAAGTTTAGATGGATGTTTGTTAGAGTTTGTAGCTTAAACTGCTGAACAGATCTCGATGAAATTTGTCATAGAATTACAGGATAATCTGAAAGAACACATAGGCTACTTTTTTAATCGCGCGCACGATTTCGCGGGAGAAAGCTTGTATAATATTTTCATATCGTCATATAATTTTTCGAATACATCATAAATATGGGTTCCTATATGCTGATTCACCTTCACGTATATCTTGAGCGTAGTCGATGTGTTTGAAAGGTTCACGTCATACGTGATTGGAAAGGCTTGGTTTTTATTCGACGAGTTCGGGTGGAAACATTTCACGTTTCGGCTTTGGATAAAGGTTTTTTTTTTCAATGTATCCGATGCTTTCAACTTGTGTTAGTGACAATAAAGGCTCGTGTATACGAACAGGTTTTATGGCGATTAATTTTCTCTTTCAATACAGTATGGAGTTTTTAATAGTGAACGAAACACGGTTTGTTTGTACGCGTTTAAGTATTTATATAACTTCGAGTTGATAAGATTTTATCTTACTCTTATTGATGTAAATGCGAATGATGGATGACAGTTTGTAGCCTAAACTACTCAAGAAATTTCAATAATATGGCATAGATGTAGAGAATTGTCTGGAAGACGACATAGGCTAGTTTTAGAAATAGTTGTGTTTCCTTTGGGATACACTAATTTTAATATCTATTCACAAGTTTCGAAACTTATCTATACTATTATAATAAAGCGCAAACACACACTTCTTTGTTGTCTCAGATGTCAGCAATTACAGCATATTTTTGAATAACTCTCTTTTTAATAAAAAGCCCTACACTTACTTCACGCTTTAGGCTATATATTTTCACGCTATTAAACTTAGGGGGTAAATATTTGGATAAAAACACTAATGTGGGAAAGAGACCATAAGTTGTTGCCAACATCAAAGAAGGAAGATTGCTAAGGTTTGTCATGTCATGTCATTTTGACATTTGCTATTGATAATTTGACAAACATATACAATAATATAATTTCATGCGGATGAAACCGCACGGGAACAGCTAGTTTATTTATATATTTGTTTTATTTATAAGGGTAAATACACAATACCACAATAATTTATATTCAATACTATCAAATATTTCTATAGACTGTGACACTAATTTCACAAGTTAAACTCAGTTTGTTATTTCAAATGTGTTCTATTTAAAAATGTTATTTCGACAGTCGTTATGATATAAGTTAACTTTAACGTCGAAATAACTTTCTACTAACTCGAGTGGGTGCAAAAAATTCGTGAAAAATTAAAAACTTAACTTTAAAAAATTTTCATACACTGAAAGTAGCTTCGCGTAAACATGGCGACCGCACAGCGCTTCCGGTTTCGAGAATTATCATATTTCCGGTGCGGATGCGACTGACGTAATCGTTTGAAAACAATTTTTTAACATGTTTCTTAAATAAAATTTATTAATGGATGGAAGATATTTATTTAATTACTAATATTATTTTTCTTTGACTGTAAGTTTGAATTATAAGGGTGTCAAGGAACTTGTTTTCTATTCAATTGTTT